CATCGAGGTGAGACAGGGGAAGGAGGAACTCACGCTCGGGCAAAGCGCGTATGCCTCCAAACTGTTGGAGAGGAGCGGCATGGTGGAGTGCAAGCCATGCGTGACTCCGATGGAGGAGCGGCTGAAGCTGACGAAGGATAGCACCGCGGCGAAAGTAGATGCAACACTCTACCGAAGCATCGTCGGCGGTCTGCGCTACCTAGTCCACACAAGGCCAGATATTGCGTTTGCCGTGGGCTACGTCAGTCGCTTCATAGAGGATCCCAGAGTGGATCACTGGGCTGCGGTAAAGCGGCTACTACGCTACGTCAAGGGGACGGTGAATCATGGAATCATCTTCCCAAAGACTGGGGGAAGTAGGCTGCAGCTCACGGTGTTCAGCGATGCAGACATGGCGGGGGACATCGACGGACGACGGAGCACCTCTGGCGTACTCATCTTCCTCGGGTCAGCCCCAATTTCATGGCTGTCGCTGAAACAGAAGGTGGTAGCGCTATCTACGTGCGAGACTGAGTACGTAGCGGCGGCCACAGCGGCGTGCCAAGTTGTGTGGCTACGCCGACTGATGGGTGAGCTAACCGGCGTGGAAGCTCACCCACCAGCACTGATGGTGGACAACCAGCCTGCCATCGCCCTCGCGAAGAATCCGGTTCTGCACGACCGGAATAAACACATCGACGTGAAGTTCCACTTCCTCAGGGACTGTGTTGATGGAGGGCAGATCGTCATCGAGTTTGTCGAAACTGGTCGGCAACTCGCGGACGTCCTCACCAAGCCGCTCGGAAGACTTCGACTCACGGAGCTGAAGGAGATGATCGACATGGAGGGGTTACAAGGGTTAGCAGTAGGATTAGGGGAAGATTGTTAGCTAATCTACTGTCACCTTGTGAGAACACAACAGAGGAAGGCAGCGCCGACTTAGCTGCCTGCTGTGTGTGAACACAGCAAGGGAAGGCGGCGCCGACTTTGCCCCCTGCTGTGATACAGTAGCCGCTGTAGGTGCAGGCGCCACACGGCTCACCTACAGCACTATAGGAACAGGTAGTGGCTGGCGCAGAGTCAGCCCTGTCAGGTTATCTAGTTACTGTGCCAGCATGGGTGCTGTACATGGACTAGATAGTTAGAGTTGTATAAATAGACATGTATGGCAACTCAGTAAAGAGAGCTCAGATTTGCCATCACACAGACAGGGCTTCGGCCAACGCTGTTGCCTTGTATTGTGCGTGCATGCTCTGTTCTCCCTTCCTCTTCTAGCTCGATCCGTAGTGTGTGGGTACGGACAACGCCGGTACGTGGTCTGCACGGCTAGTGGGTGCTCGGCAACACTAGCGCGTGCTCGGCGAGACCGACAAGTGCTCCACTCGCCTGAGCCGGTGGTCGGCAAGATCGGCTGGAGTGGTTCACTGTCGTGAGCCGGTGATCCTGTGAGACCAACAAAGTGGTCTGGAGATCATCTCGGTGATCGAGAGGCTAACTGTGGGCCAACAATCAGAACAATCTTCTTGCACATACAGGATCGGCTTGCTTTCAAATCTCATAATTATTGACTCCAGTCTCATATAAAGGCCACCTGATTGGGAATGTTCTCGGCTCTAGCTCCATGTTTTCTTGGTATTGGCAATGTGCATGCACACATGGCTGGCAGCATCCCTCGGTCGTCCTAGCTTGAGACTTAGAACCAAGATGACGGCCCCACAATCCACATCAGCACAAGCGCATAACCGATTCTAGAAATCTTATTCTCCGTCTTGCAAGCGGCATCGAAACAGTCAGAATCAGGCGATCGGATGTTTGATGACTATGACGCCGACAAGAGGTTGGGCGGCTGACATCGACACATATAGGTTCCAACTTTTGTTTGTTTCCTTCATACAGTATTCATCAAGCCGGATTCTTTCCTTCTAGTTTGATCGTTGCTAGCTTCAAATTATTTCATCCTGAAGGCCGACGAACTTTTTCTATCATCCGATGAGACATAATCACATAAAAGGCCCAATCGGCTATCAGCTTGATACCTTGGCTCCTAGTCACCATATCAATGCTATTTGAGTATATTCTGAGCACTTTTCGAATACCAGGAGCCGATATCTTTGATGACTCGGGCTATAATTATAATCAGCTATATCTGGAGCTGGAGGTAATAAGCACAAATATTGGCTTCTTCCTTGCTATCGGCTATTTGCTATCTGCGTGTGACTAGCCGATGCCAAACCAATGTGTAAATACCCATCAGCCTCGATGCAGACAATAAAATATTACGGCCACCATACTAAATGCTATTAAACATGCCTCTAGGCTGATGAGGCGTAATTCCTGTTCGCTTGGTCGTAAACGATCGTAAATTTCTAGCCAGAATAGTATTTTTCTCTCACACCAAATCAGCCAGCAGTAAATAATCCACGATCGTTTACGGCCTCCCGAACAAGCTGTCGTCGGCTTGGCTTGCTTCTGTGAGGGGTGATGTGGTAATATTGCTGGTGACGGTATGAATCAATCTGATGCTACTGAAACAAGTGCCTATTGAATGAATCTAGGGTTTGAATCGACTCATCATCAATTCCATCGGCTCATCATTAATTCCATTGGCCATCTCCTGCTGCTAACCTTCATCAACGCTTCCTCAACTTTCCCGACTGATCTCTGTATATATGGTCTTAGAGCCGATGGCGGAGTAGCCGATAGAGATAGCCGATGGAAGAACTCTGATCAATTCCGGCTTCCAGAGGATTGTCTTCCCATGACCAACATGAAGCAGATCTCTGCTTTGATTGATTGTCAAGCATTAACCAAGGCAAATTGACCACGTACTCCTTTGATTTCCAAGCAGTTCAGGAAAACAAGAAGCTTCCAGCCGAATAATTAATTGGTGAAAAATCCCTCTCATGAAGCACGGAGTGAATCCAAAAATGCATACGGCTACCACTTCCTTGCTTGATCAGCTGGCTGCTACTTCTGATGAGTCAGTGACCAAATCTCAAAAACATCAGAAAGAAACTAGAGACATGGTACAACACGTGTCACCGAATACGCTGTCGAAGGTGTTGCTGTCGGTGGTGGCATGACAGCACTCGATACACGTGTACCATCAGGAGAAAAAGCTAACCCAAACTTGTCCGTAGGCAGAGCAGATGGTAAATATTTGAGAACCCAAAACATGGTCAGCTCCTTTTCTGCTCATTGATCGGCTATGCCCCATGTGTTGAGAGAAAAACCGAGAGCCGATGAAAGAGTCCAACGCTTATTTTCTTCAGGTTTACCACTGCTTGCTAAACGTCTGTATCTCTGCCATATGTTCTAGCACACCTGTCAGGATGTAGTCGATGTTACCGGGTGGTGCGCCTGTCCATCGTTAGCGCACGCGCCACGTCCTGGCGATACGAGTGACGTGGATCTTGCGTTGTGATGTACTCTGGTCGAAGCCCATGCATGCGCCATATGTGATGAGCATGTGGTCGCTCTAGGTTATGTGCTTAGTCCTGCTGTTTCCTGACCTATCACCAGGTGTACGTGTTGCATCAGCTGTTCCCAGATCAAGACCAGTCTCGTGCTCAGCAATTGTGGCATCTTCTGCATTCTGCAAAACAGCACGGACGAACTTAAGTAATAATCCAATGCTCAAACAATGGAGTAGCAATCCACCATCGACTCCTCCTTGAATGATCCATGCAGCTGATGAATATGAAATTACCGATGAAGCCTCCATGGAAATTATTCATCAGCTATCCAAACAAAAAGAGAAATCCGATGGAAACAACCTCTATCGACTGCTTCTAATAAAATAACTCCATCAGGCCAAATATCCTTGTTTTTAATTTAAGTGCCGATGTCCCTTCAGCTTCCTGGATGCAATGAGTATGGCCATCAGCATCCTCCTCTGATATTTTATGTGCCTCCTAAAATTGGTTATTAGAGGCCGAAACTTCCTGCACCATGTATGTAAGGCCTTGAATTATAAAATTAGTGGCCGATTCTACTCTCTATTTGTTGACGATCATCGTGACACCAATACCAGTAGGTCGGCCAACAAGTAGTCTTCATCCAGGCAGAGAGTGATGAGGCAAGCGAATAAAGTCTGACACCTGTAGTCAGATGACAAATATAAAATGCATCGGCTCTTATTTTGTCTTGTTATAACTTGACCTTCAAGTAGCCGATGAATTCATCCAGCTTGCGTTCTCGACCAATTAGCTCCAGACTCAGACCACAGCTTCTATCCCATTGATCAATCTCTAATGACGATTGCTTAGACTCCATTGCCTTTTGAGCAGTAATTGCCCATTGGCTTCCGTTCGGCGTCAACGGTTCAAACACTTAATTCTGGTAAGGTAGCTGTTTCCTGGTTCCTTGCTAGGGCCTTGAGAAATCGGCTCAGTGGCAACAGCAACAAGAAGCTTAGGGCCCATGGAGATCCTTTTGCCAAGTCCGAATATACTATTGTTAATCCTTATTTACTCGGCCATGCTAAAGCGCACAAGATTTTTCTGCATCAGTACGAAGACAACTTCCTTTTTTTTTCTTGGCCGAGCCAATTAAATGATTAAACCTTTCCTCTTTCTCAAACATTGCATCTCCGTGACCAAGTCAAAGTAAATAATCCTGTTTTTCAGGGACCAGCAAGAATACGATGGAAATTCTGTTCATATGCACGATCCTGTCTTCTTACCATAAATACCGCTCGAACTTCCGTCCATGAATCTCTACCCCTATAATACACCACTTTAAATTATCGTACAGCCACCGAACAAATCTCACCTCTACAGTCATAACCTAAACTACGTCCACCTCATAGAACGAACGCAGAAAAAAATAATATTAAAAATATATGTACTAAATTAACTCTCAATTATTGTCTCTCTTTACTCCACCACATCCGACGGCCGACGGCCGATATTCTTTTGGATCTGCCACCCACCCACGCGCGTAGACGCCGGTCCCGATCCATGCCGCCGCTTCTGCAGTCGTTGGGGTTGGTAGTGGTCGGGTAGTACTCGCAGTAGTGCATGGCGGCGGGAGCGGCGTACGGTGGCGGCGGTTGGTAGCTTTGTAGCTGTACTCGAACGACAGACTTGCTCCCTCCTTCCGTTCCCGTACGCGGCGGCGTCGCGCGAGAGGCCCGCCGGAGCCGCCGGATCCGTAGTTGCCGGCGCCGGCGTGCAGGGTCCGCAGCTCGACGACGTCGGCGTGGCCCTCCTTCTAGCGCAGGTGGGTGGTGAGGACATGCCGTAACTGGATCTCGCCGGCCGCTGTGAGGACGAAGCCGCCGCCGCCGCCGCGAGGCTAGCAGCCGCCACTCGGGCGCGCCATCAGCCACCGCTCGAGAGGCCGCGAGGCCAGCAGCCGCAGCTCGTGAGGCCGCGATTGCGTGCTGCAGGGAGCCGCGGAGTGGTGTGCATCACCTCCGGCGGCACTACGGTGCCCCTGGAGCAGCGGTGCGTGCGCTTCATCGACAATTTTGGCTCCGGCCAGCGCGGTGCCGCCTCCACCGAGTACGCAGACAAATCACGCACTCATCTGCTTTTTACTGCTCTGCTTGCTCATGCTGTTATGGAGCTGGTCCGTTCATCTTTTGGTTCAATGGAGATCGGTTCAATGCAGGTATTTTCTCAAGGCCGGCTACCCTGTCATCTTCATCCATCGCCGGTGAGTCCTCCGAACCAGACAATTTTTGTTCAGTATAGTTGGGGTGGAACTGAACTAGCTGCATGCTCAAAATTGTTTTTGTTCAGTTCTGAATGCCCAAATAAGACAAGTTGTGAGTGACACCTACCTCTTTGCAGTGGGAGCAAGCAGCCTTACTGTAGGTTTCTTCCAGAGGATTCCTTTCTCGATCTTTTTGAGCTCGGTGAAGACTCGGAGATCCAAGGTTTGGACTGTAATCCTGAATTATGCATGTCATGCAAACTGACCCAAAATCTGACTGGTCTGGCGGCTCGCTGTATGGTTTTATATTACCTGCCTTCTTAGTTTATCTCCTCGCCTTGAATGTTCAATCACTATATGCATTCTTCTTTTGAAACACCTGTTTGTATCCTTGTTATGCATCTCAGTTCCACAGTCTCATTCCTCGGTGGTCAAGGCAGCAATTAGCAATTACCGGAAGGTATATATATATGTGCCTCTTGTATGTCGTCTTTCTCTTGTGAAGCATTAGCTGCAACCAGATTGATATGGTACCATGGCTGTCTTGTATTCACTATCACAGGCAACCAGATTGAACGGGTACGACGCGGCGGCGCACCTGACGGAGGAGACATTCTGCAGCATCGGCATCATCTCCGTCTTCGGCTGGGCGTACATTCTGGCCCTCATCTTCAGCATCCAGGTACTTGCTTGCTGAGGAAACTAACACACGTGCAATGCATTGCAGTCAGCTGTCGATTCCTCTCACAAATGTCATCCCATGTCAGATTAATTGATTAAGAAAAATATTTATTCTATAATATTTGAAACTGCATAGAGAAGGTGGCAATGCGGATGTGGTAGCTGGATAGAGATAGCAATGCAACGTCCTGATATTTGCATCTTTCAGATTCCTACGGATCTACATGAATTCTATTGTGGTTAATTAAAAACAAAAAAAATGCCATGTCAAACCAGAAAGCAGATCACAGTACTTTAGATGACATAACAAACAACAACACAGGTACGAGCGCTTCATGGGCTGTGGCGGAGTTACTTTCATATTTTTATAACCTTCTTAGTTTTAGTTCAACCACCTGTGGATGAGGCTGAGCGGAAGAGGGAAGAGAGGAATAGAAAACAACGAGAATACCGAGCAAGGATAAAGGCTAACGAAACTGACGAGCAGAGAGAAGAGAGGAATAAAAGGCGTCGGGAACAACGAGTATTGAAGAGGACAGAGTCATCGACGCATACTATAGGGCCTGATCATGGTATTGCTTATTTTTTTAATAATGCTTCCTTTGTTTTTTTTCAATGTTGATCTTACTCCTTGAATGACGATAGGTCAACAAGCACCATATGGAGTGTGTTCAGGTATTCTCCAAGCATCATATGCTGAGGACAAGGAAAATATGTGCCCGGAAAACAACACGGATTAGCTACATAAAAATTATAATTATGTCCGTACAAGACAACCGACCTCTCATACTTCTTGTGTGCCCAACGACCTGACAAGCCACAATCTGTTCAATGCAACGGCAACGCCAGGTGCCATCTTTGTATTTTTTTATTTTTGCAATCCATGTTGCAACTTTGACAATGACAATGTTTTCCACCCAATGGTGATCAGTTACCAGCTCAAATAGGCAAAGGGCCCTCGCAAAACGAGAGAGGTACAATAATATGAATGAACACGGCAAGGAAAACATGTTGCAGAGAAAAAGGGACTACAAGAAAAAGATGAGGACACAGTCAGCCGGTGACTTGGCAAAGGAAACATTGCATACAGTATAAAATGATATAGAATATGATGGTGCCTTGTTCGAGCCTATAACCAATCAATCTGATGGTGTGTTCATTTTCTTTTTTTTTCAACAAAAAAGCACGTTTATTTTATTTTATTTTATTTTGATAACACACTCAGTCAATGTGTTCTATACCTAATTGTTGGACCAAACATCATGCAGAGGACCATCTAGAGGCACCTCGTGCTTTGGATATTGATGATCTTCTTGATGACGAAGAGACCAGGCAGTACATTGGTGAAGGTAAATTTATTTTGTGTGGCGCTTTCGAGTAAATTAATTTTGGTGAAGGTAAAATTTATTAATGTTGTGTAATAACGGCCAATGCTTGCTTTCATAGCAGATGGTGCTTTCGAGTCCAATCGTGTCAGTGTTAATGGTGTTGATCTGAATAACAATGAAGATCCTTACGATTATGTCTACCAAAATTTTCCTGATAGGCACCATGTTCTGAGAAAGGTGCCTAACTGCTTGTACTGTGGAGCAAGGAGATTTCAATATGAATCACCTGGATTTTGTTGTAGAAAAGGAAAGATAAAAATACATGTTTCACATTATTTGATACTTTAGTGATCTGAGTTTTTAGTGATCGCCTGCTAGATGCTGCTCGGCCTATAGCACCACGATCGCCGCTGCCATTGCTTGCTCTTTGCGAGTTTTACTGATGGGTATATGATTTATGAATGACAGGTGTCAGGAGCTGTTACGACGAGGGGTGTGTCCAGGCAAACAACAAGAATATTGGCCAAACCAAACAAGGAATTAGATCCAACAGGAAAGTGCACCAAGAATATAGTGTATAAAGATGTCCTGCAATGGTGACAAGGTGGTAAGTAATATCCTATATGCTTTTATGTTCTCTTCATCTCATGATATTTGACTTGAGAGACAGTGACGAGCAGCATGTATGGCTATATGACAGAGATACTCGAAGGTCTTCAAGTGGGTTATGGTGCTATTCAAAAGTGATATACATTAATACCGGCTCTTGTTTAGCTGGAACTGAGAGGTGAATTTTTCATTGTTTAATTCTGTTTTTTTCACATTATTTGATACTTTAGTGATCTGAGTTTTTAGTGATCGCCTGCTGGATGTTGCTCGGCCTACAGCACCAGGATCGCCGCTGCCATTGCTTGCTCTTTGCGAGTTTTACTGATGGGTATATGATTTATGAATGACAGGTGTCAGGAGCTGTTACGACGAGGGCAACCGTACAGCTGACCATGGATTCATTGACCAAACATTTTTTTCCCAGTGATATATTTATGTACCGGTTTGCATCCATCAGCATAAATTGAACTACTAAGACGAAGAGACTGCTTCGGCAAAGGCCTTTGGGAGCAGAGATCAAGTCAAGGCTTTATATTATCTCGAGATGCATTCTGATGCTGATCCGGTGGCACGACTGACGAAGAACAGATTTAGACGACATCTAAATTCCATGTTTAAATCTCATACTGTATACATGCTCAAAGATATTGTGTAAAAGTTGAACTATGAAAAAAAAAACATTGGTTGTTTTCATGTGCGTCTCTAAGATAAATCCGTTGCGTTAGCACGGACATTATACTAGTTACGTATAGAAATCTTCTCCACATACCCTGATATGTGTTGATCATCCAAAACCAGATGATATCCATCTGGCTAGTCGATTTGAGCATTTTGGGTCCCACCGGGCGTGCCAGAATGTGTGTCGGCGCAAAAACGTGTCAATGCGTCTAGCACACAGTAAGCTGGAAGAATCTGTTTGATGAAGCAAGGCTAAAGATCCACTTGGCTTCAATGCAGGGGTAGCTGATCTTGCGAATTCCCGAAGGCGTGCCAGTCAATTTAACCTGGAATTGACAATGAGAGAAATTTTATCAGTAATTTAAGGTAGAATATGCTGGTTTTGGCCAGACAGTTCCAAATATGCCGCTACGGGAGTAGCCAGACATGAGAATCGACTAAATAGCCGATACGCGAAGAAATCGGCTGTTACGAACCTAAAGCTCGTGGGTCACGATTGATTTTATGTTGACAAGTACAATGCATGCAGATATAAGTAAAATCATCAGCTAGGTGGATATTACCAATGTAAAGCATTGAGCCGATGAATCTAACGAGAAAGGATATAACATGCGAACAAATCGACTGTTTAGTACAAATAAATCTACAAACGCTATAAATCTAATCTGTTACCATCAATAGTGAGGTTCGACCAGATCGATGGCAGCTATGATGATAATAACACACTAAAACCGAAGAATCCAAAAAACCATCTATACATTGATAGGTTTTCTGAAAGGCATGCTATATGTGTGAAAAGGACAAGCAAATCAGCTGAAATAGCCGATTCAGGTAGAAAAGGGGACTACAACATGTGAACAATCGACTATTTAACATGGATAGATCTATGAACTCATTAGACCTAACCTGTTATCTTTAATAGTGTGGTTCGACTGGATCGATGGCAGTCGTGATAAAGACAACAACTCAAACCTTTAAAATAAATAGATCTATTCACATCTAACAGAATCATAGAAACACATTGTAGGCGTTAAAGCACGGGCGATCGGCTATTTAGCCGATGCGGGCATAGCAAACAGCCAGGGTCATATCTGGTCGAAAGCAAATCTACCAACTAGCATCCTCCGATCTAAAGTACTAACAATGGAGGTCGACCGGATCGATACATCCATAATAGCAAGCTATAGACCAGATTTATCTAGCTAGTAAACCTTCTCAAGTTCAGACACGCCTTGACCACGTACTATGTACGATCAAGATCGAAGTAGAACAACCGATGAAACATAATCCATCATTTAGAGTAAAACCGTCGCAATGTAACGAAATAAACGATGGACTAGAAGGATGTGAGGCCGATCTAGATTGTTCCCGATCGGGCAGGTTGATGTTGCTGAAAACTAATGACAATAAGAACATCAACAAAATCAATAACTTAATGAATCTACCCGAAGGATGACATCCTTAGGTAGAGCCGATAACTTGACCTTAATCTAATTCGAGCAGTGGAGGTCAAACTTAACCTATGCAGCCATACTTCAACTAGATAAAAATCGATAACTAGCTTATGCTAGAGCTCGCAGTGGAGGTCGAACTTAACCGATGCAGCCTTCTGAACAGAAGTATAAGCCATGATGGTACTAACAGACAAGTCGAAGGTCGGTCGGACTGATGCAGCCTTGCTTGTTGAAGAACTCGTCGAAATCTACACTACTCATACTCCTAAGGTTGGCGTAAAGCCGAAAAAAGTAATTGGTATTAATTGATTGGATATCTTTTACAAGGAGCAGGGGCTACATATTTATACCCTACAATAATGATGCTGATGAGCTACGTACATAAGCCTTCATCCCCTTCGGAGTCAATCTTAACAAGAAGCCCTACGCTCTAGCGCTGAGCACCATCCCGCCATGAGAGATGACTCCCGTTTCTAGCTAGACCTACTTTGCCCAAACCATCCGACGTCTAGTGATCGCTCCTCCACCGCCATGTCTACCTCTTCAAGACAAGCCACACCAGCCGGAGGCGTCGAAGCCGATCAAGGTGCCTAAGGAGATTAACCTCCTTCCACCAAGGCTGAACGAGATGCTGACGGGGGTGAAGACCAACAAGTTCGGGGATGTCACCTGTGCTAAGTACAAATTGGTCATGCCTCGTGTGACCATAGATGGTGTCCGGGCTGCACCGGAGCAAGTCAAGATTGCTGCAATGGATGACTGTTGCAATGTTGCATGAGAAGATCCAAAACCTTACCTAGTACACCCATGCTTTTCAGCATAGGATCGATAAAGAGCACATCTATCGCAAGGATCTAGAATACGAGCTTACTATCCTCTGTCGCTATGTTGTCAATAAGGACAAGTGCCAAGATTGAGAGTTAGGTCGTTCATCAATAAGGCACACATAGGTCGATTATTTAGTTCGTTTGCTTAGATCGATTATTTAGGTTGGTTAAAGTTTGTGTAGGTTGGATTGTAATAAAAATGCCTTATGATATCAATGAAATTATGTTGCCATTATCTACTCTCTATTATTTTGTTTATGTGTTTGTCTCCACATGTTGTGCATAAAGGTAAACAGGAAACAAGTGTGCGGAAAGCACACCGCAACAACAAAACGAGATCTGATCGCGAAAATCACGAATTTCAGAAAGCAACGGAACAAGAACCAGGCTTACTAAAGTTGGACTGAAACGGGCTTGAGAGTGGGCCGCCCGGTCAACCCTATGGGTCAACCGGCCTAGACTAGTACCACCTCATCTTGTGCTTTGTCCACGGTCAGGTTTGCGACCCGTATGATCTATTTTCACCTATCTCGCTTTCTGTTTCGAACCGAATTGAAAATCCTTTATAAACAACTTTAAAACATGAGGAAAGATTATTTCAGTCATGACTTAAGGATAGATTTACATAACACTTTTCCTAGAAGTCTTGCTACTATTGGGAACTTATTATTAGGACCCCATGTTACTTAAGTTGTTGTGGAATGACATATAGTAGAATAATGAGAACTTGATTCTTGATGTCTCGTTGTTGGAGAATTTTATTTCAAAAACTTAAAAATAAATAGCTACATCTCTCTTTTGTGGGAAAGCAATGTCCTACCAAAGCCATAGATGATATATAGATTAGGGAAACCTTCTACATATATTACTTGTTATTGTATTGGGTTTGGTCAAACCTTGTGACCCTTGTTGAGAAACTTATCATGCTCTCAAGATCAAGATCACATACACTCCACAAATATCTACTGCTCCTACACTAGGAGTACGCAAAAACATGTTTTCCATCCACTCAAAAATGTTCTACTCCTACATTGGGAATAGACACAAAAATATGTTTGATAGGTTTCCACTAAATAAATGCTCCAAGTTCTTATAAACGTCTCTCTTGAAAGTTCTGTTGCAGAAAAAAGAAACATGGGCTATGCAAAAGTTATTCATGAAAAGGAAAAAAAAGTATTGAAAAAAATGGACACAAAAATGTCAAAGATATCAAAACCAACGGGTACTTAGATTCTCGCCTGAAAAAAGAGAAAAAGAAAGATAGCCCATGTTTTCTTGCAAAAGTATTTTAAGTTTCAAACAAGAGAGATATGTTTTAAGGAGCATAGTAGAATTAGGTTAGCCACCATATACATATTTACACACATGCACATCTTGATCTAAGAGTATGACATTTTTCTCCTTGGATCCTTGTTTTGACTTTACAATATATGAAATGCAAGTATGTTTTCATATTCATCCATACCTAAGATCCACATAAGCCTTTAGAAGTAGGTAAAAAGAAGGCAAAAGTTATATATGCCTAGGTAGGATCCATAAATACCACATATACTGAGTGATATGAGAGTACCACAAAAAGGAGAAGGTAAGCTATGTTTTGGTTTTAAAAATCTTAAAACAATTCTCCAATTGACTTGACTGAAGGAAGATCGTGATCTGTTTCAAGCTGTTCCACTCTTCAACCACTCAAAGTTTCAAGGTAGACACTTTGAATCCTACAGAGCATTAGTGACTGGGAATAGTTTTATGTTAATGTCTTGTCCCAAGGTTATGTCTTAAGTAATCCATCCTTTTATCGAGGACGAGTAAAAGCCTAAGTATGGGGGAGTTTGTTGATGGTAGTTAACACTCATTATAAACCGTCAATATACCTTGCATAAATGACTAAAATGGGTCATCAACATAGACTTAGGGGTTTAAACTAACAAATTCCATGAGTTTTGGTGAATCTATGTTTTTAGCAGGATTTAATCAGAAAACCGTAAAGGAGGACTTATTTGTCAAGGAAGATCACATTTATCCACGATGGTAT